GTGGCTGCAGACCGCTGAGTTTCTTGGAGATCGTAGAGAGCATGCGTGAGATGAACCAGGGTTTAAGCGGATCAATAAAAATAATTAAAAATTCCTTCATTTTTTCTTTAAATCAAGGCCTTAATTGGCACTAAAATTATTTAAATATGTTTATCGAAGTATTCATAATTCTTTAATAAAAAATGCTTATAAAAACAATTTCGTCAGATATATTATATCGCTATTAATTTTCGTGGAACTGATCATAAAGCCGTATGTTTGGAAAGGAAGCTCGAGGCGGAGAAAAAGCTAGAGGATATATATATATATACGTATATATTTGTGTGTGTGTGTTTTTGTTGAACTCATTTAAAAGTTGTTATTAACACTTAAAAAACATAAATTAAGACCTTTTCTTATGAGTTTTTTTTTTCCACCACTAACTGATTGATAAAGACTAATCTGCATTGTTTAAATATCGCATTGTCTTTCTTTCTGAAGAGTGGCTAAACAGAAACAGACCTTGGTACCCTGCTTTTGATTTAGCTTAGCCCTAAATAAAAAACTGTAACAATATCTGTATAGAGCCTCTCTACCATAGACCTTCATGTCGGTAACTGTTTAAAGCAAACCTGAGAGCAGTTATAGTATGGCATATCTGAATAGAGTTGTTTTAACATGGCCAACATCTATATGAAGAGATTTTTCCTGATCTGGGTTAGGTATTAGTGGTTTAATAATTTTAAGCATTTTCTTTGTAGATTTAATCAATTCTGAACTTTTACTTGTTAAATTGTGAAAGCATTATTCTGTCCCTCATAGTTAATTATCTTTACTTCATGTGTCTTTCTCTAGGACACTCTGATGCTCCTGTTGAAGAGCTTACCAATGGGCTGTTACTTCAACATCTACAGTTTTGGTTCCAGCTTTGAACATATCTTTCCGTGAGTGATATCTAACCCCTTACCCCAACATCCCTTCAAAAATATTATGAGACACATGGTGGCTTATCATATTAATTCTCATGATTTTAACTAAAGTATTCTGAACATTTTCAATGGAAGTACGAGCATGGAGTACAGTGAGAAGACCATGAACAAGGCTCTAAAAGAGGTTGAAAAGATGGATGCAAACCTTGGTGGAACAGACATTCTTCAGCCTCTCCAACACATTTATAGCCAGCCCTGCATTCCTGAACAGCCTCGACAGGTAAGCTATACTCACTTATATTGAATCGACTCTAAAAACTGCACTATTCATTCAACTTTAGCACATAAATCTAATGTCAACCAGTGTTTCAGCACAGTTACTTGTACGTCTTCAACATTTAATTGAATTCTGGTTTAACCTGTTTTCTTTGAAGCTCATATTTGTCATAACTTTGGTTGCTCTTCATCCATGGTAACACTATTTGAACTACTAAAACATCAGAGATACAGTTAGACAGATCTTTCTAAAGACTTACAGCTCCTGTTTAAATTTGTAACTGTGTAACATTGTGTGATTTCTTCTCCATCAGCTGTTTGTCTTCACTGATGGAAAGGTGGGAAACACTAAAGAAGTTATTGACCTTGTTAAGAAGAATTCAGGCTCCCATAGGTGAAACCATAAACACATGCTTTGCCTGTCTGGATCATGTTCTCATGTAATATTGTTATAGAGTTTAAAATCAACTCTTGTTTTGTAGATGTTTCTCCTTTGGGATCGGAGATGAAGCCAGCTCTGCTCTCATCAATGGGATGGCCAAAGAGGGAGGAGGTCACGCTCAGTTCATCATAAGGACTAACAGGATGCGACCAAAGGTAAGAAAAACATCTGACTAACACTTAACCAACTCATTAGAATATGATTGTGTTTAAATAAATCATATCACAACTATTGTTTAAAACATAGGTTGTAAATGACTATCATCCAAAAATTTGTCACGGAGAGGAGAGCAAGGATCTGTTCGATGTGCTGAATCAAAGGACACATAAAGCTTTACTGCAGTTAGTAAAAGTTTTATTGTACGGTTTTTAACAGAAATATTGGCACCCTGCCTTAGCCTCTCTTTGTATCCAACAAACAAAGAACACCATGAGCAGATCCAGGTGATATTCATTAGACAATCATTCAGCTCCAGACACATCCCAACACCCACTTACAGCTACACCCACACATGCCCATACATACCTCTAACACATGCACCCTACCCTTATAGACAAGACAAAAAATGCATCCTTCACTCTACACAGGTTATGCAGTCACTCAGGTTTGCTCTGCATCCCAATGTGGGGGACATTTCTGTCTCTTGGGATTTACCAAAGGGAGTGTCTGCCACCATTCTCTCTCCACCACCAGCAATCTTTCAGGGTCAGAGGTCCCTGATTTATGCTCAACTCACAGGACAGGTATGGTCACCTGAGTTTCGGGTCATGAGTAATTTTAAAACAAGATTCTTTCTAATTGTATTTCTTTTTTTCATTGTCAGAGTTCAGATGCAACAGAGGGCAGCGTGACAGTGAAGTACACCCTGGCAGGTCATCCCCACCAGAACCAGTTGCACTTCGATTTAAAACCTGCAGAAGACTCTGGGTAAAACACCTACATCCAGAGGCTCAAATCTTGAAGCATTTTTACTAAAGAATACATGTTTTTAAAACCTGAAATCAGGGAAACTGAGTTTTCTGTTTTGAGAAAAATGTTCACTCAACTTTTGTGTCAATTAAGATAATAACATTCTCCTGAGAGCTAATCTGATCTGGAACAAGTTTCCCTCAGTAAACTCAGAGTTTACTCTGCCCTCCCCAGAGCCAATCATCCTGATTTAAATCATTGTGACTAAATCATCCTGACTAAATCATCCTGATTAAATCCTGATTTAGTCAAGAGAGTTCTGTCAAAGGTTTGTGTGAACATAAAAAGAAAATCACTCACCAGGTCAAATAGACACATTAGTTGTTAAAAACATAAACATAGCATGTCCTTTTGATGACCCCACGAACTTAAACAAAAATTCATTACTTTTTGTTGGTTTTTATGTATTCGAATTAGGATAATGCATATTTAATCAACCTGTTAGCTTAAAGCATCAATGTAAAAATGCCAGAATTATAACAACATCCTCCACTGTCCTAAGACTGATAAAAACATTAAAGAAGAACAGAGCCGACAGAAACACATAAGATACCCTTAGAGGTATAGTGTAGCATGAACTTTTTGCGGGTGGATCATCAAAATAATTGGTTCTCCTAAGTGTCAAGCCTTCTGGTGATATTAACCTAAGACCGTCCATGCTCGTCCACATTTTAACTTACTAGTGGCGAGTCTGACATTGTGGAAAAATTGCAAATCTTCTTCTGGAAAGTAAGTTCGTTTGAACGATGCAAACAGCTACTTCTATACAGAGTGTGCATGAGGAGAAATGAGCTTGTGCATGCTCTTGCACGCGTTTAATAGGCGTTACCTCTCGGGAGCAGGCACAGGGTTGTTTAGCTCTAACATGGGCTGGCAGTATTTTTCATGACCGTATTTCTCTGATGGATGCAACTGTGGCCAGTATGGCCCCACGCTCAATCGTTGACACAAGGGGGAGCAAGCAACTCAAAGACCCAAACCGTGAAGCACTCAAGTTAAAGTGTTTTATTTATACAAAAAGCCACAGCAAAAGTGGCATGATCGGCCTGCAGCACGCACTGGCTGATCCAC